CAGATCTGTAAACTGAGTGTGGTTCGATGTCGGGTGGGGCTTGAGGCTGGTTGAGACTTGATGTCGGGCGGGGGTCCATTATGTACGGTATGTTGTATTTTGTGGAAATCGCTAAGCTTTGTGCTTATGGTTTTCAGTTTATGTTTCATGTACTTCTGGTTTGAAAGGGAAGAGCCCAGGATGATTGGAGAGCACACACCACTTTATTCCATATTTTGAGAATTACTCTGATATTTTGTGATGTAGTAATACACTATGGTCTTTCTTGGTTGTATGACAATGTTTTGGATTACCGTTTTATAAATTTCAAAATGAAATTTTTGGGTCATAGTTTTGGGACGTTACAAGTTGGTATCATAGCCTTAGTTTGAGGGATTCGGACATACTCTCGAGTGTGTCTGAACTCAAACTGAGGATTTGGTAAAAAATTTCAAAAAGAAATGTTTTTAAGCAAAAGGGTTTTTTAATACAAGAAAGGGTGTGGTGCATGGAGTCGACCGAGGTCAAGTAAGTTTTCCCAAAATACTCATACATGTTATCTGGTATGATTTGAATTGTGAATCTGTGAATCGCATGCTAGTTAGGGCTAGGCATATGCTCAATATTCGCATGATAGAATGCTAGGAGAGGTGCCTTGTATGCCTATTGTATGAGCTTGTAGACTTGCATGCTAGTACTGACCAGTCACTGATAGGATTACCTGATTAGGTTATGCTTGGTTCTGGTTACTCAATTCTCGAATGCTGACTGCTTTGTGCTTCTTAGGAGTCCTCACTAGTTTCAGCTAACCAGTAAGTGAATATATTAAGTTACATATTACTGAGACTGGATAATTTTAGAAGGTTAGGCTTTAACTCTATTGTAAAACTCTTTTTTGAGTCCAACCATTGTAGTGTGAGACCTCTCATTCAAAGAATTATCTAGTTTTGATGATATGTAATTGTATTCGCGAACAAGTTAGAGGATGTTAGTAGGAGTTCCTTCTGCAGTTGATGGCAGAGAGTGGTGTGGAGTTTTCCCTAGGAAGAAATTTAGTGCTGGGAGCTTTATCTTGATGAGGTTAATTGTATGGATATAAAGTGACTTGGCGGATTGAAGGAAATCATTGAGGAAAGTACGGATATATGTGGAAGGTAGTATGGGCCCATACTACTGGAAGCAGAGGGTCCGTACTCAAGTCAAATGAGAGTTCCAATGAAACCAGGAAGCTTGTAGAGTTGTGATCCCTCAATATATTTTGATACATATTCTGATAATTTATATGGTCTATTTTCAGTATGGTAACTCTTCGAGGAAAACCGATTGGTAGTTCTAGTGCTGGTGAGAGCTCAGGATCAGGTTTTGGAGCCGGGCAGTTGGATGCTCAGACGAGGGAGTTCATTTCAGTACAATCAAAGAGGGTATTATGGAGGTGTTGGAGGAGTGTTTGGGCTCTTTCCATTCTTAGATGGTGGCCTTGATACGGTTGTGTTCATTGACCTTCAGGGAGTTTTGGGCATGCGGGGCTCCGAACTACTATGAGGAGAAGGACCTGATAGCAAGCAAACAATGATTAGCATATGTCGCTAACGCATTCCGCACCAATAGTTGTCTTGAAGGGGAAAAGGTCAAACTTGCTTCATGTCTTCTGAAAGACGAAGCTTGAGACTGGTGGGAGGAGGTTGTGCACTCCGTTGGTGATGAGGATGTTGGTTCGATGGAATGGGATGATTTTACGACTAGATTCAGGACTAAGTTTGCACCAGTAATTGAGGTGAAGCAGTTGGCATGAGAGTTTCAGGATCTATGCTAGACTATTGAGATGACGAACGAGATCACCATGATGTTTCGAGAGAGAGTGCTTTTGGTTCTGCAATATGTAGCGGATAAGGAGATGAAGAAGGCGAGGTATAACGAGATGTTGAGGAGCGATATTTGGCAGTTTGTGAGCCGATCCAGTTTCAGGACACTGGAGGATATGATAGCAAGATCCTGAGAGAGGGAGATTGATATCGAGATGGAGAGGAACAGGAAGTCGAACCAGGCTCAGGTTTTAGGGGCATCGTGCAAGATGCCCAACGTTTAGGATTTGAGATCGAGGAACTAGCAGGGTCGGAGCTGCTGTGGGAAGTGCGGCAGGATGCACGAGGGACCGTGCAGGGTGGATGGTTCGGGCTGCTTCAAGTGCGCCTAGACGGGTTATTTTAGCAGGGATTGTACTGCCACCACCATTACCCCAGGATATGATTTGATTTGCTTCCATTGCAATTAGAGGAGCCACAAAAAAGCCCAATGTCCGAGTTTGGCTGCAGCAGGGCCGATGTCAGCACCCGCTCTTGTGACTCTACGGATCACTGACGGCCGCCAGGTCAAGGCGGATGCACTTGTTGTAAAGAGTAGGGCTTTCCAGTTGATGGCCAAGGAGGCTCACGCGACATCTGATGTGGTGACGAGTATGTATCTTCTCTCTATCTCTTTATTTATATTGAATTGTTTGTTTCTTTTCATATGTTTTATTTTAGGATCGTTCCTTGAGAACGATATTTCTGCTTTTGTATTGTTTGATTTGGGGGCTACCCAAGCCTTTCTATTGCTTGCGCTTAGAAAGAGGTTTGCGGAGATCTGGGGGAGCTGGATTGTCCTTTAGATGTTGAGATTGCAGATGATCAATCTGTTCGGGCAGCGTGGGTTCACCGGGGATGTACTCTTTATATGTTCAGCGAGCAGTATCCAATTGATTTGGTTCCCGTTCCTTTGCGTGGGAACAAGGTTATTGTGGGTATGGCTTGGTTGAGCCCTAATGGGGTGGTGATCAATTATGAGCAATAATTAGTTTGGATTTGAACCCTAAGTGGGGGAGAGTTAGTGGTTCATGGAGAGGGCCAGACACTATATTCAACAGGGTTGTTCCGGATTTTTGGCCTATGTTATAGATACCCAAGATAAGGGTAAGACTATAGATGATGTGTTGATTGTGCGGGAGTATCTAGACGTATTCCCAGATGATTTTCCTAGGTTGCCTCCGGAGAGGCAGGTTGAGTTCAGGATTGATCTAGTCCTGGTGCGGCTCCGATAACCAAAGCACCGTATCGGTTGGCTCCTCCCGAGATGCAGGAGTTGTCTACACAGCTGCAGGAGCTGTTAGACAAGGGATTCATTTGACCAAGCAATTCGCCATGGGGAGCAACAATCTTATTTATGTAGAAGAAGGATGAGTCTCATCGTATGTGCATTGACTACTGTGAGATGAACAAGGTAACGGTGAAGAACAATTATCCACTCTCGAGGATTGATGATCTATTTGACCAACTTCAGGGTGCATCTTAGTTTTCCAAGATTGATTTGTGTTCGGGTTATCATCAGATGAGGGTTAGAGACGAGGATGTGCGGAAGATAACTTTTCGGACTCGTTATGTTCACTACGAGTTCGTGGTGTTGCCTTTTGAGCTCACCAATGCTCCAGTCACGTTCTTGGATCTCATAAACCGCATATGTAGGCCGAAGTTGGATCGGTTTGTAATTGTATTCATTTATATATCTTGGTCTATTCGAAGACCCATGAGCAGCGCAAGGAGCACTTAAGGGAAGTGATTGAGACTTTGAGGAGGAAGAGACTTTTCGCGAAGTTCTCTAAGTGTGAGTTCTGGTTGCACGAGGTGCAATTTTTTAGGCACCTTGTCAACCATAATGGTATTCTGGTCGATCTGGCGAAGGTCGAGGTTGTGATGTTGCCAAAGAAGATGGTCACTTTTCGTTGGGGGCCTGAGTAGCAGACAACTTTTGAGACCTTGAGAGAACGGTTGTGTGAGACACCAATTTTGAACCTACCGGAGGGTCTGGTGGATTTTGTGGTTTATTGTGATGCATCGATCACGAGTTTGGGGGTTGTGTTGATATAGAAGGGCCGCGTGATCGCTTATGCTTCGAGACAGCTAAAGCCTCATGGGACGAGGTATATGATACTTAGTGAGGAGCTAAGTGCATATTTAAAGAGTTTCATAAAAAGGAAAACATATATGTATGCGTGTCTGTGTATATGTGCGTGCAGATGTGTGTGGGTGGGTGTGAACACGTGCGTTAGGACATGCGTTGTTGTGGGTGGATTGGTGGGTGGTATAAAAGTCGATGATAATTTGTTTTTGATTTTATGAATAGTGACTTAAATAAAGAATATATACATGAAGAGTTTTGTGCTTTTAATAAAAAATAAGTAAAAGCATTAGGTATGAGTCACGTTATAACACCAAGTTCATATGCCACCTTATCTATAACACCACCATAACACCAAGGGGAAAATGGTGTTTCCCATGTTATAACATGTTAAAAAGTAGAGAGAGAAAGAAATAAAATGATTTGATTGGTTGATAAAGGCAACAACCAATTAAACTTCCCGATGCTTCTTGTGCTCGTCACAACAAGATATGCCATAACATCCTCTTAACAAGGAGGAGTGGTGTTCATCTTGTTATGACTAGGTTATGAGGTACCACATCAGCAAAAATTACAGTTCTCGTTGCCCATACCGTATACTCTAATAGAATCTAAAGTCTTTGTTTACACCGCAAAAATTTAAACCACGTGATTTAATGCAATTTAAATTCAATTCCACGGTATATAATTTTTTGATTGAAATTTGCATTCTAACTTATTTAAATTCCTTGAAATCCATGAACCAAAGTAACACTAAGTTTTAGCATCAAGATCCAAGAACATTATTCCTGAATAGGGATGATGTACAATGTTCACAGAAAGAAGAAATTATTGGTTTTTTATTAATTTTTTTTTTTAATTTTTTTAAATTTTTTTTTACAATGTAGTCTACATTTCCATAAGGCCTAATTTCTAGGGAAATATATGTTATATTTTTTGTTTTTTCTTCAATACAAAAGTAAAAAACAATTATGCTTAGTTTGTTTTTATTCCTCTAAATAGATACCTACTTTTAGTTAGTTTTTCTTTGTTTTCTTTCGGTTATGATCATATTTTTTAATGTATATTATGATATAAATCTTACATAGATATTATATATATCAAGCATGAAATTTTAATGTTTTATTACACAGCTCTTTAATATAACATTAGCACATTTACAATCAATCTATTACAGCACGTCAATAGTACGATTACAATCTAAATACTGATTGTAAATGTTTATTCAACTCGTATTTGAGGTAGCACAACAGTTACCTAAAGATATTGAAATGCTCCACTTCAAACTAAAATATCTAAAAATGTAATATGACTACTTTAAAGCAATGAGGATACCTATTTTAGGCATACTCATTCAATATTCAATCCGTGTGAGTGAATTGAAGAAAAACAATAGATTGTAAACATGAAACCGGTGTTCTCCAAACCAAAGGCCAAAGCACGAAAAGGGAAGGATGATATCCTCTTAAAGACGGGGTTCACAAATCCTATTAGATTATTGAGCACAGGGGGATTAGACAATATTGTAGCAAACAAAAATCCAAAGATTTGCTGAAAACAGAAAGATTCTTCATTCTTGACATATTCTGACATTTATGTTATGTGACAAACACAAACCAAGTTTCAGTAGCAACAACAAGAACACATTCATTCTTATGACACGTACATTATTTAGGTAATGTACACACACGAAAAAGATGCGACAGAGGGTATTTAGGTAATTACCCTCTCCAGTTATCTTTTCGTTGCCTTATCTCACGCATTGCTTCAACAGGGGACTTGCATCCAACTTTCTCCTGCATCATAATTGAAGTCAAAACAAGACCTTTCTTGTGCCAAACTATATGAAAAAAAAGTCAAAAACAGCAAGAGTACCTGAATTTGAGGTAGATCAGATCGCATGAAAGGATTAGTTTCTAATTCCTGTTCAATGGTTGATGGAATAGTTGGAAGCCCAGATTGCCTCTGCTTCTGAGCCCATGATAACTTTTCTGATATCTTCTCATTGTCTGGTTCAACTGTTTGAGCAAACTGCAGATTCTTCACCGTATACTGACATTGACATGACATGTATAAAAAATGACATCTACTGTTAATTAATTTTATTACAATCTAACAAATACAAAAACAATATACTGAATTAATTTTACCTCATGCCCACAGTAAACTTTAGTTGGTTTTGGCAAAGAAGCCAAAGTCACACACAGTGACTCATGCATCTGTTCTGCTGTCCCCTCAAAAAACTTGCCACAACCAGCAACAAACTAAAAAAAAAAAAAATACATCATAAGAAAAAGAAAATGAAAGTAGCATTTAGCCCAAAATATACATGAAGAAATTACAAGATACACCCACCAGTGTGTCGCCTGTAAACACAACAGGGTCCTCTTCTTCTTTCCCAGTCACATAGTAACTTATGTGTCCCTTTGTGTGGCTGACAAACCAACAAACCACATTAAAAATATTTATTTAATTCCTATTAGAAGAATGGAATTTAACTAATAGTTAAAAACTTTTATTAAACTATAATAAATGTTCGTTTATGGGAAAGAAACATACCATGGTGTGTGGAGAGAGAGTATATTGATAGAATCACCAAGAGATAACTTATCACCATTCTCCAGCTTATTAGTACACCCTTTTACATTATCAACAGAACCTCCATAAACTTTAATCCCTGGAACCAACTCTTTGATCTTCTCATTGCCACCCGCATGATCCCTGTCACCAATTTATCATAAGAAACAATATCTGTTGTTTAGAAAGGTTGCTTTCACATTCATTTGATGAATGAATAATATAATCCCTCTTTCTTGCTGATACCAGTTGTTTCATCAATGGAACATGAAGTATATTTAGTAGGGTTAGGGTTTGTCAGTGGTCAAACTTATCTATATAGTCACTGAAGCTCCATAGGCCAAAAACCATAATAACCTAATTATTATCTCATTAGCACCCATAATCAACCTATAATAACCTAATTCACCTAAATAACTAGCAGAAAGTATACTTCTCGCTAAAAACCGTTAATTATCAATAGAGTTTTCGATGAAAGGTGAACCAACCAGTGGTGATGAGTGGTTAGGACAAGCTTAAGCTCAACTCCATTTTCTTTAGCAACTTCAATAACCTTCTCCGGCTCAACTGGATCCACTACAGCTCCTTGTTTCGTGTTCTCATCAATCACCCTGCAAAAATACAAACACTGTAAAGCGCACTAACGGTAGATTGTAGAGTCAATAGGAAAACCTAAATAAAAAACGATTAACTAACTGAACTTAAAGAATGATCAGAATCGAGGTTCATACAGGTAAGAATAGTTGTCTTCCAAACAAGGGATATGAATCACCTTCATCTTCAAGGTGTGACCGATTGATCTGATCAGTAGGATGATCCTGCGAATCAAAATTTTAGGCCGGTGCTCGATCACGTTAACGCTTGGGTCTTGAGAGTTGACTTCCATGGACCATGGCCCTCGTATCGTATCACTTTTGATCGGGCTGTTCTAACGTAAGCCCAACAAGGCGATAACAATAGCAATATTTCCATAATCAATAAAATAGTTATTATTTTGATTTTTTTTTAATAAATAGTTATTTGATTTTGCAATAAACGATTACAAAATTATTATAAGGGACCGATTCAAGTTCCCAAGTGGTTGTGTTTTTATAAGAGATATTGACAAAAATAGACATACTTTCAATCAATAAAACAGCTATTGTATTGTTTTTTTTTTCTATAAATAACCATTTGGTTTGCAATGTGACAGTTGCAAAGTTTAAAAGGTGCTTTTTTAGTCTCTATTTCATTCCCTAAACTTTTTTTTTTCTGGGAAATTGGTTTTGAAGATCCCAACAAAATTTAACAAAAATCTATAATTTTAATAATATTAATACGAACAATTTTTTGTAGTGTATAAAAATGTTTTTACTATTCTTTGTGATGGTGACTGTTAAAACAAATTTTATAGTTAGTTAACGGTGATGATTATTTATTGGAGAAATTTACTATTTTGTTGAAATTCTCCTTCCCTATATCAGATAGTTTTTGTAGTTTTGTTATTTTTTATAATATTATAACTGATTACATATATGATAAAATCAAAGTTAATAAATAATAGGTGAACTACATATTGCTTCCATTTGGCTTACATTTAAAAGAACATGACCAACGTGGCTGCCTACATATTTTTGTAATACGTGGCGTTTCAATTCATCTGCAAGATCTCGACGTGGAACAAACCCACAAACCCACTCACTGTCTGTGATTCAAAATTCAACAATCAAAACCTCATGCAAAAAACCACCGGCTTTGAAGTTCCCCTTTCATACAACCCACCGCCCCTTCCACAAATCGACCTTACGATTACTTTCACAGTGGAAAATGTCTTCACCACAAAACCCAGCGACTATGGAAAATCTCTCCGACGATGTTTTCTCATACATATTCATCCGATTACCGGCGAAACGCCTTGCTCAGGCGAGATGCGTCTCTAAATCTTGGAATGCTCTGTTGTCTCGGTCCTCCGTTGTAACATCCCACCTTCATCGATCTATTCGTCACAACGATGAAATTTTATTCGCTTTTTCAGACTTACTTCCTTTTGACCCTAAACCATTCACAGCACACCCTTCTCAATCTCCCCACCAAGAAGTGGAACTCACTAATTTGATCAAACTCCCGATCAATTTCCATTTAAGACATGCTTCTGGCACTCTAATTGGATCTGCTAACGGTTTAATATGCTTTCGACACGAAGATTCTCACGCTCTTTGCATCTGGAACCCTTCTCTCTCCGCAGTGTTGTCTCTTCCGCCATATTATATGCCCTCGAGTGCTTATAAAACTTTCACTGCTCTGTTCCGGTTTGGGTTTGATCGCAAAAATGACGATTATAAAGTTGTTAAGCTTGTAAGATTCATATATGGTAATGATAAATACTTCTGTAGAGAGTGGCTGCAAGTTGAGGTGTATAGCATGAGAAAGGGTTCATGGGAGTCGATCACCCAAAGGTTTCCATCTGAAGTCGAACATATTTACGGTGAAGATAATGTTTGTGTTGATGGTCACGATGGGCATCTTCATTGGCTTGGTTACACTGATGAGATTATAGAATCGATAGTAGCCTTTGATTTGGGTGCAGAGACATTTCGTGTGATACCTCTTCCAGATTCTATACAAGATGGCCACAGTGGACACATCTCGAATACTTTAGGAATTTTGGGTGGAAAAGTTTGTGTGATGTCATGCGTTATGGATGAGGAATGTGAGGTGTGGATGATGAATGAGTATGGGGTGGTTGAATCATGGGTGAAAAATCATGTGTTCTCGGGGTTTAGTGGCAATATAATTCCATTTGGATTCACATTACGCAACGAGTTTCTTTTTCAAGTTTCACAACATGGTTTTGGTTTGTATGATCCTGTTGAAGCCAAGACTAAAATCTTTAAGGTTCGTGGAAGACCATATACCACACGTAAAGTTGTTCATTATGTTGACAGTCTTGTTTGGCCAAGGGTGAGATGAGCACCTGGTGAAAAGGGCTACAAAACAAAAGCAAGAGGCAAGGGTCAAGATTGAATGTTTTGTTATAAGTACTAGTTTGGATGATGATATGCTTCTTAATTAGGTTTATGTCAAATATGATTAGTTGTTGCTTTTAACTTTTTTCCTCTGCTTTATATATATAGTTTATTGGAAATCCAGAATATGTCCAAATGTTAAACAAGGTAAAACTTCTCAAACTAAACAACAATGCCAAACAACTAGAAAGAATGTATGTATCTAATGCATTAACTACTGATACTTAGAAACCTAATTATGAAACATGGCATCATCCAAACCAGTTATAACAAAAGATACAACTTGTTATCTTCAAAATTGAAATTGTGAGAATATGGAAGAGGCACCTCACCTCACGGATTGAACATTGCATGTTGTACCATTTTTGCCGATTCGTTTTTGAAGTCCTTCGAATTGTAACATGATCATCTCAATCCATCAAAATAGCAACCAGGTCGTCATAAATCGCACACTAATACTGTGGAAAATAGGCTAATTTGTTATTAAGGGAAAAATCAAGTCCATTTTAATTTGGGCGTTCCATCAGTAGTTTCAAATTAATCAATGATCATCAAAACTTCTGTAATGTAACAAGTCATAACATTTCTTTTCTCATCAACTAAGATTTGATATCATTACAAAATTTTGATATATAAATTTGGTTCAGGTTATTTTCTTGTTGTCACTATAAAGTATAAATAGACATTATAAACATTTAATGCTTATCAAGTTATGTGTTTAGTCATCATGATAATCTTGTAGACCAATCGAGCAATTTTGGGGATTCCAATGGGGAAAATTGTTTACCTTGTGTATCTATCTTTCACTTTTCATTTTTGGCATCTCACTTTTCCTTCATTCTACTTTCAGTTTTTAAAACCCAGAAAATGGTCGACTTTTATTTACTTTCACAATAAACTAATTTTAATTTTAGAAACCATAATTTAAAAAATAAATATAATTTTAAATTGAATAAATTACTGAAATCGTCCATATGGCTTGGTCAAAATTATACGTTTGGTCCCTAACATTTTTTTTGCACTCGGATCGTCCCTATGGTTTGATTTTGTTGTGCTTTTCGTCTCTATGGTTTGGTCAAAATTGCATGTTTGGTTCCTAACTTTATATATGTAAGGGACAAAAAACACAACAAAATAAAAAAACAGGGACGATTCGAGTGCAAAAAAAAGTTAGGGACCAAACATGCAATTTTGACCAAATCATAGTGACGGTTTCAGTAATTTACTCTTTTAAATTATATTATAAAACATATTAGTTATATCTTGAATTTTAAGAGGTATAAATTATAAAGATTTTTGTACAAATCAATTATGCATAAATAATTCATTAATGCTTATCAAAAGTTTGCAGACTTGAATTAAAAAAAATAATTATGAAATTCAGTTTTGAACAAATGAAAATTTCAAAATATTCAATTCATTATATAAAAATTAATTTACATTTCTTAAATAAACATCAATATTATTTAATTTACATCAATAATATAAACATAATATAAATATAAGGTATAAACATAAATATTTTATTTAAAAGTAATAATTTTTTTGTTACATAATAATTGACTAGAAAAGTATCCCATGCTTCGCATGGATCGGGTGGGGGCGGCGGGATAAATATTAAATATGGTCGTAGATAATAAGCAAAAGATGCGAAACACATTTAAATAATATTCAAAAAAGAAGTGTAGAATTGGGTTGGCTGCATCAACCGTTGTTAATCTGCCCTTTGTTCTACAACCTGAAACTCAAAATTCCATTTCAGTTTTTGGAAATCTAGAATGGAACTGTTACATTAACAGGTGAAAGAAAGTTGAAGAAAAATTAGCTGAATCTTGATGGTAACTAAATTTTCTTAATTTGATTAATAGTAACCTACTTTTTTGCTTAGGTGTTGTTTGTTTTTCTATAAAAACATCTTCAAACCACTTATTGCTGCGCAGCGCAGCACACGCGCAACACTTTTCCTCTCGCAGCAGTTTGTTTTTTGAAAGATTTCAGACTACAAAACCTTTGCGTGTGTGCTGCGTGGCGCAACACTTGACTTGCCTCTTCTAACTTCTTCAGCTTTCATTTTTTCTAAGTGTTTCTTTAAGAATTTTTGTATAACTTTTTTTTTATTTTTTTTTAAACTTTGATTTTCTTAAATTTTTTATTTACGGATGTGATACAATTTATTTTTATAATTTCCACGATTTTTTTAACTTGATTTTTTTTTTTACAGTTTTATTAATAATATTTTCAATTTCAGTTACATCTTTTTAACGTATGTAATTTTTTACGAACTTTGTAGATAAAGTTTGCAATACTTTCTTAATTTTTTTATTATTTTCTTTTTTAATGTTTTTTAAAATTAGTTTTTTTTTTTTTTTTCTAGAATAAAACTATTAGCTTCTTTTACATTTTTTTAAAGTTTTTTTTTTAAAAAAAAAATTATATTTTTGTTTTTTTACATGTTCTTGTTATTATTATTTCAATGTTTAAGACTAAAATTATTAAGTTTCACTGTTAAGAACTATTTTCAGTTTATAAAATTAGTTTATTAAAATTTTAGTTTACTGCAGATGTTAAAAAACAAACATACATCTTATGATAACTCTGTTGAAGACTTGCCACCCAAAAATCACATGTTTTTCAATTACTATAATAAAAAAAGCAATGTAAATCTGAAAACTAAAAAACCTTAATATGCCTAAAAGCAAAAGAGTAATAACAGCAAATAAGAATATTTTAAGATAGAAAATGTTACAGGATCATTATATAAGTTGCACTTAAATTAATAGTAATTTTTTTTCAATTTTGGTCATTATTTGATATATATGTGATGTTTTTGTTCATGTTTTACGCAAAATGACTATATTACCCTTTTATTTATAACAAAACAGAAAAGGGTAATTATTTGAGATATTTGTGATGTTTTTGTTCATGTTTTAAGCAACTGACAATATTACCCTTTGATTTAAAATAAAATAAAAAACCAGAAAAGGGTAATGCATCCATTTTACTTTGGAACATGACCAAAACCATTACAAAAAAGAAAAACTTTTGTAATTTATTTTTAAATTAGAAAAAAAAAAAACAAAAAAGAGCACGTGGTTAAAAGTTGTCTTCAAACGTGATGAACTTACAAAAGTTTAAGCAGACCCCTTTCATAATTCAACTGCTACAAAGAGAACAAGAGGTGGGTGGTCTTCAGTCAAGAAACATAAAAATTGAAGTTCACTGTAGAAATTGATTTTGCAGTTTTTCAATTTGATTAAGGTATATCAATTTCTTCAGTTTTTATGGATTTTTTTCTATTGGGTTGGAATTTTTACATGGGATTCTTGGAGAGCCACTGGTAATTATTCTTATAAGGGCATATGTGGAAGCAAAAAATCAAAATATGTATATCACCTGCAAAATACAAACAAAAAAAGAACATGACAACACAAAGTACATCATAACTTCAAAAATTCAAAATATATATATCACTTGCAAAACACAATTTTGCCTTTTTATCCCTTTTGTTGAATTATGGGTTCTGGAAAAGAAGATTTCTGCAACTATGAACAATGCTCCACCAACGAATCCATGGGATCACAAAGTGTATCCAAAGTTTTAAAGAGCTAATTTTTTTAATCGGGTTGGTTTACCCACCAAAACTTATCTTGCTGATGAAATTCAGAAGGGTTAACGATTCGGTTTTTTTAAATAGCTAAGGGGGCGTTTAGTTGCGGAAAAATGAGCTGTTTTCCGGAAAAAATTTCCAAGAAAAATGAGAATTTTGAAAATGCGTTTAGTTCGTCTATTTTTCTAAATTTTTCACGGAAAATGAAATTTTTCCGTTTTCTAAAATTACAAAGAAGTCGGAAATTTTTGGAAAACTGATAATCATTGTTTTTCACATTTTTCTAATTCCAAAATTTTTCTATAAACACACACCCACTTCACCCCATCCACCTCTACCTACCCTCACCTTAACACCCCCACCCACACACACATATACATACCCACCCTCACACACACACTAACCCACAAACACACACACACATACATACCAACTAACACACACACACACCAACCCACACACACATACATACATACCCACCCCCACACACACACCCATCCACAAACACACACATACATACCCACCCACACACACACACCAACCCGCACATACACACACACACCAACCCACACACACACATACATACTCACCCACACACACACACACCAACCCACCCACAAACACATACACACATACATACCCACCCACACACACACCCACCCACAAACACACACACACATACATATCCACCCACAAACACACACACATGTACATACCCACCCCCACACGCACCCACCCATAAACACACACACATACATACCCACCTATACACACACACACCCGCACACACACACATACATACCCACCACCCACACCCGCACACACACCTACCCCCACCCCCACCCTCACAAACACCCCCACCCCCCCCCCCCCCCCCCCCCCCCCCACACCCACACACACACAAACCTACACCTACACCCACTCACCCAACACCACCACGGCAATCACCGATCCACCATCACCACCACCACCACCACCACTAACCCGTCACTAGCACCACCATCATCGTTGCCGCCGACATCACCACCACTGATACAATTGCCGCCGCCACCACCATCGCATGTCATCACCACCACCGCCGCCGACCCGCTACCGTCACCGCCCCCACCCATACCCTACCACCGCTACCGTTTTCTAAAAATGAAAATCGATAGAAAAATACACATCTAAACACGTTTTCTAATTTTCTAAAACTGAAAATGAAAAATGAATAAATTTAATTAAACGCGTTTTCAAAAAATTTCAATGAAAAATGAAAACGGGAAACGAAAATCAAAAAAGGAAAACAAAAAATGAAAAGTGTTTTTCTGTAACTAAACGCAACCTAAATCTTTCAAATCCTGCAATCTTATTTCATCACCATCGTTTCTACAACTACCAACAACCTGGAGGTTAAGTGTAGGAGTGTCCACGTTCAGTTTCTTGATGAAAATTGCAAAGGTCTGAAGCAGAACAGCACGCGCCTGACTTAAAGTTTTTATTTAAAAAAAAAAAAACAAAATATTAGGTATCAAAGATCTTGCAAATTTTTAATGATTTTAACGCCTTTAATAAAAAAAAAACCACACCTTCATGGGCAAAATGTGAGCCACTGAAATGATTTTAGGTGGTGTTGTTTCTCTTTCCGGTAGAAGTTCCTGTTAAGTAATTTTTTAATATTAGTAATTGATATGATTATGATCTTATAAAAATGAGTACAAACTAAAAGTATATAATTAAGCATGAGGCATAAAAAAAAACACTGCAATCAAGTGTTGGTTTTATTGCATTAAAATACTTTCTTCATTAGTCTCATTCTCCCACAAATCCATCCCACAAATTGGATAGATGATTCCATTCCTTCCTCAATTCCATCCAACCAAACACTACAAACATAATAAAAATAACAGAACCATGTTTAAGTAAACCTTATCATTAAGCATTTGATAAAAACTGAATATGTAATTGGCGATATTTTGTTCTTCTGGTCCGCATATTTTAACAACACAAAACCATAAATAATATGAACCAAAAACAATGAAATATGACTTTTGCAGTAATGTATAATTTTTAACTTCAAAAAATTATTTTATTCAAACCATTCATAAGGCATGATAAGACCTTAAAATTATACAAAAAATCCAACATTTAAAGATCAAAGTAATTGCTAACCTTACCCTCACAGAATGAAAAAGGTATTGCGCTTTGAAATTTTGTGATAATCCTATCCAAGCTGCAAAAAATTAAGAAAAAGTTAGTAAATTATCTGATTTTGATTATTTAGTTACTTTTTTTGAAAGAAAGGTATTTAGTTACTTTTTTGTATTTAAATTATTTTGAATGTACCTTAGCAGCTCGTGTTCTTGCTCTGACCCAACATATAGAGTTGGGTACATTTAGGGTGGAGATGCTATAAAAGCAACATAGCCAAAAATAGTAGTCAACTTCAACATGGTAGAATTCATACAGCTTCGTTTGTGGTGATGCAGGAGCACATCACATATCTTCCACAAATTCTGAACTAAAGTCACATATCGATCATGAGTCTGAAATTGGTAATTCGATCTTCAGTGACAGCAAAAAAGATGATGAAAATCTCAACCAAATGATGAATAATCATTTTTTAAAGAATTAGGAGATGAGATACATCGAGATTCCAAATCAAAACAGCCGAGAGCTGGAAAATGATGTATCAATTCTTAAATAAAAATTAAAAAAAAAATGTGTAGAGATTACCAATCAAGCACAATCAATCTTCGATTAGTTGTTTTTACGCATTACTTACCTGCAGAAAAGAAATTGAGGATTCTAAAAAGATGATATGGAGGTGATGATGGATAGTGGCGTCTTCTTTTATCTCAACTATGTAACCCCTCTTGACTCTTGAGGTTAGGGCTTTTGTTGGGAATGAACAGAGAGGCCATCGAAACGCCTACATTTTCGCCGGTGACCAACAGAGATAGCAGAAAAAGACGAAGCACCGGGGTCAGCCCCCCTTTTTCGCGGAACATCCATCACATAATAAACACAAAAAGAACCAAAAATACGACAACAGATGAAAGAAAAGAACAATAACAGAGTAAATTACATGGGACAGAAAGAGGGAGGAATGCAGAGAAACAGAAGGAGACGATGAAGGATCAAAATAAAAATCTACAAATAACCAAATACAAAAGTAAAAAGGAATAAAAGACACACGTGGGATTAACCTAGATTTGCCACGAACAAGCAAGTCCATTAAAAAAAACATTATTATATACATTATCTCTCAGTAACCAATGTAGCAAACAAATAGAAAGAGAGAAAGAAAGTGGAACATAAAGAAAATGACAGGGACATAAAAAGAATATAAGCTGAAGGACGAAAATAGACAAATGTTAGGCACCTTTACTGTTCCTTTGATACAGAACTTTAATATATATATATATATATATATATATATATATATATATATATATATATATATATATATATATATATATATAATAAAATCTAATAATTATTTCCCGTAAAAAACTATTTGCCAAAAATAATTAATAAACACAAAAAATAATAACAATGAAAATATTTAATTAGTTAAAAATAAAAATTGCACAATAAAACCTAGAAAATATAATCAGTATTACATAATACAAATCACTTTAGGTTGTCGTCTCAATCCTCGATCTGAATTTTCAGCCGATTCATCTAATAAAACATCGTGTAGGAGTGTGGGTTTGTTCACCTCTATATAAAAAAAATACAAATAGTATTTTATGTCGAGTCTTATTTTAGTTTTTACATTAAAAGTTATACTTTAGTATATTTTTTGTTTGAACTTATATAAGTTGTCAAAAACACTTTCAACTTTATTATTATTATTATTATTATTATTATTATTATTTTCTTTTTATAAATTTATTTACTATCTTTCATATAATAATAACTTTATGTATCATTACAAATTATAGTGAAATAAAATTTTATATATTATTAATTAATATAGATTTAATATATAGAATAATATTATAATTAATAGTTATTACATTTTATAGTATACCGAGTCATATTTTATAAGTTAGAAATAAATACACATAAAATTGATTGATTAATATTGTCATTTAGAACTTTGACATCATTTTCAAGTGACATCAAATTTGGTTTTTTAGAACCGGCAAATATTATGAGGGACGACCGCCTAGCAAGGTACTAGGCGGGCCTAGAAAAAAAAAGGAATTACAATTGATTTTGGATTACAAACATTTCAGCGGGCAAGTACACCAATCAGCCCAATTATACTGACAATTGATTCTCCTGTGTCTAAGCCAAACGAGGACAAGAGACTTAATATTATCTATAATCTGGAAGGGGGTAGATTGAATGCTCCTAAACACCCAGTCACATCTCATTTTCCATAGTAACCATATGGCACCATAACAAACACTAATTAGGTTGTTTCTCATTCTCTGACATCTTCCCCAAGTTTTTACAAATCTGATGAGTTCTCCGATGGTTTGGAATTGTGGATTCGGAATATCGCACCATTTAAACATCAGGTCCCATATTATGCTCGCCGTTGGGCAACGAAACGGAACGTGCTCCGAATCTTCTTCCTCAAGATGGCATTGGGAGCATGTTGAGTGTAATATTGTGACTCCTCTCTTCTTTAACGCCACATTTGTTGGGATACGTCCCGGACTAGCTTTCCAAATAAAGGTATAGACCTTTAAGGGAATATCATGGATCCAGGGGATGATTACTTCGTTGTTTGCCAGTTCTACATTATCAATCTTGAGTCTGATCGCCTCTACGTGAAACGTACCATCCTTCGATAAGGGACAGTTCCATGTATCAGGTTCCGGGGTTGGCTGGTGTTCTCCAATGACATCATACGGCATCCTAAGACTATGAATTTGTTCAACAGATGCAGGGATTGATCTCCATTCCCAAGTGTGGCCCTCTACTTGTACTCTTTGACTAACCCTGCAAGTCTTATGTCTTTCAAGCTGATAGAGTTCTGGGAATTTGTCTTTTAATGACTCACTATCGCACCAACTGTCCATCCAGAAGAGGGTGTCGTTACCATTCTTCACCTGTTTCTTTAAAATGTCATGAAAGTTTATCCCCACCTTAGTTAGGTCAGTCATCACTTCCGTCATGTTTTTCCACACACCTGGAATAGTTCATTTTGATAAAAGGTTAGCGGGTTTGTTATGCAAATTATGAATTCCCATAATTACACGGCTCCATAAGGCTGTTCTTTACTTTAAGATAATGCAAGAAACATCAAGATAGTGCAAGAAATGGGGTGGGTTGGAGATGATTTACAACATTTTCATGTAAAATAATAGGAGATGCACCCGGGTTGGGGAAATCGGTGTTTGAAGAGAAAAGTCAAGGTTTAAATACTTTCAAAAACCGAGTAAAACTATAATGCAATTATATCAACACCACAAATACTCATAAACTCGGGCTTTTATTCCAACTACACAATTTTAAAAACATACTGGGATTACAAAATAATAGAATTACAAGATACTCCTCTAGGCACAAAATAAAGGATGTTACATACAAACAAGGTGAAGTGCATGATTATTATCCATGTTACGTCACTGTATCCAAGGACCTCACATGCCTCATAAACAAACAAACATAGGGGAGCAAATATACCATGAGATAATTTGCTCCTTCAGGAATAAAAATTACTAACACGTACTTATGAACTTTCCACAAAAAAAAAAAAAAAAAAAAAAAAAAAAAACTAAAATAATGTTTAAGGATGCATCAAGTAATCACGCCACTTGTCGATAAACGCCAACTTGTCTTCAGTCAAGTTTGGAAGTTCACGATGTTGAAGGGTGTTGATTATATTTGTAGTCTCACCGAGAAGTTGAGCTGCTGCATGGACACTCGCCTCCCTTTTCTCTATCTCCCTTGCATGGCATTTCATTGCTATGGCTCGGGGTAAGTTGGTGAGACACGCAGCCAATATGTCAGCGATCATTGATGATAATTGCTTAAATATTTCATCTTGACTAACCTGGTCAATGTTCCTTTGATTGGAGAGAATGAGTGTTTCGGTGATCCGATACATTGAATTGGCAGCAATAGACCTGTATTTGGAGTCATCATTTTCCAACTGATTATTGACCATGTTTCTAGATATGTCCCTCAAGCTTTTAAGAATCTGTCCAGCTGTATACCCAGGTTTTGGCAGCTTGTTTCCTAACCATTTCCGGCGGACTTCAACTTCTACACACAAAGTTTTAGCGACCTTTTGAATGCATTTATCCTCATCGGTGACATTGAGGCTTTCTTCCACATGTGCGACATAAACAAGACCTTCATCCACACCACTCAACAACTCATCAATTTCACCTTCATCTTTCAAAGAAATGGCAATTTCACCTTTATCTTTCAAAGAAATGGCGATAGCTGTCAGTGTTACCAACGGTAAGCTCCAACAATTGAGATATTCTTTTGAACCTAAAGATGGAACAAGAGGGCTGTCAAACTCTTCAACTCCTTTAAAACCGTTGGATCCCTCTAAAAGCTTCATAAGATTTTTGGGTTGTTTTTTTCAGCCTTTTGGATTAAGCGATTCACCGATTTTGATATGCCTTTCAATGTTCTCTCTGCAAACTCCGTGTCGTCTTCAAGCTGCAAAACATACCTGCTGTCATCTTTTCCTTGATTCTCTGGATTTCGTTCCGACACACAGCTGTCTGGGGAGCTAAACATGGCCTTCAACCGCTTCCAGCAATAGGAGACACATTTCAAAGAGAGAAGTGAGCTAAACATGGCCTTTAACCACTTCCAACAGTAGGAGACACATATCAAAAAGAGAAGTGGAATAACCCCTATCATCTTGCAAGCTACCACGAATGTCTCCTGAAATTTTATGCAAATGCTGAGAAATAGGATTTTTAATTTCTCAATGACAATCTTCCCTCTGAGGCCGGGGCTTCTGAATGGGATATTTGGTACCCTTCTCTTTTCCCAATCTGATAACTTCTGAGTCCAGTAGCTCTCCACTTTAAAGACCTTGATATGGTTCCTAATCCACTGTGGGGACAACTTAAAGCTTAAGGCTGCAAAACATCTAGAAATAGGGGCAAGTGCTCCCAATATGACTCCGATAAACTGTATTATGAGAATCACTAACATTGACCACTTATAATCCGTATCATATTCCATCATATCTTTATCCTGTTTTGGTATGATAATATAAACGTGCAATGCAGTGCTTATAAGACATATTACCCCAGAAGCAGAAGTTGTAGCAGAGCAAACCGTCATGAATTGAGGGCTTCCGGTTCCTGCCATGATCCAGTAGTTTCTCACATGATGCTGTAACTTTTCAACAGTTAATCTTCCTCCGTTGAGTGCTTGCTGTAGATCCTTTGAAGCTTTTTGATGAGCCGCTTGGTATTTGGATTCTAGAATCTGTTTGGTCTTGAGAATTGCTAAACATGAGCATGCATATATCATGAGCAACAGGAGTAACATAGCTGCATAAATCGTTGCTATCAACTTTGGGCCTGTTAGTAATATGCCTAGCGGTGTAGATCCTATTTGAGTCTCAAACGGCTCCTCAGACGTGTTGTAGGAGACAACTCCCGTGCTTATTTGAATGCAAACGTTCACAGCCAAGGTGATCACCAGAATACCTAAACCTATCATGTTTGAGACAAGTTCGTTGCTTTCCATGGTTGCTAGAGAAGGCAATAGATTCGCCATAATAGTACACATGAAGCTCAACCCTCCAAGCTTTGCAATGCGGTCCACATGACTTGGTGTTAGATCGGTCAGACCATTGGGTAGCTTTATTGCGACACCTATCACAGTAAGAGAAGCAGCATTCAAAGTGAAATACTTACATGGAAACCAGAACTTTCTGTTACGCAAACCATGTAATAAATCAGCCACCATTACAATGATGCAAAACAGAGATGCTAATGCGATATACATCCCAATCCACCACATAGGTTTTCCGTAGTGCTCTTCCTTATTCAACTTGTATGCCAATTCCATAAAGCGAAACTGGCAATAATCTGGAATATCCCCGCAATCCACAATAACTTGATCAAGCGACTCATTTTGCTCGGATCCCATGTTCAAGAGAAATCAAATGCTGGTAATTAACTAATTAAGGGGGTGTAAGGAGATGCAAGGGGGATGAAGGCCAGGGTGCAAGCCAATTAAGGAGATGACAGATGATCAGAAAGACTTAAAAAGGAGCTATGTTGTTGCTTCCAATAATCCCTACTTTAATTAAGAATATGAACCATGGAGGACCACCATGCATATTTAGGTGAAAAGGTTAAGTAAGACATTTAGGTGAATACCGAGATTCCACCAAAATATATATCATCAAAAAAGCAGATAATACAAAAATCCTCAACTAAGTATAAAAGAACATTAAATCAAATTCGTCCAATCAAACTTCAAAGCTTTAATCCTATGAACATGATTGATTTATTCGTAGATAAATTGACGAATGCAAATGTTATATAAAATAATTCGATTATAATTTATGTTGTATGTATTAGTGTTAAAGGTAAATCGTAAAGGCAAATTGCAAATGTAAAGTAAAGATAAACGACAGATGCAAATTCGCCAATGCATCCTGCTCACTGGTCCCTCTGTCAAGTCAACTCGTTTGCTTGTTCTGCATTTATTTTTTAAAGGCCATAAGATATAGAGTAATTTACACCAATGGTCCCTATGGTTTAGCGTAATTTGTGTATTTGGTCCCTAACTTATTTTTTTAACTTATAAGGTCCTTATTTTTTGTTTTTGTTACGCGTTTGGTCCGTTTCTTACCTAAAAAGACTATTTTACCATGATTTTTTAATGTATTTATATAATCACACCCCAACCCCATCCCTCTCACCTTACCTTACCTACCTTATATATCAGTTTTTCCTGTTTAAATGATAATGTTTTTAGGTAAGACTTGGACAAAGCGCATAACAAAAACAAACAATAGAGACTAAGCGTGTAACAAAAACAAACAGTATGGACCTTTCGATTTAAAAAAACAAGTTAGGGACCAAGCACACAAATTACCCCAAACCATAGGGACCATTCGTGTAATTTACTCTAACATATATATCAGATAATAAAATCAATAATATATGGATCAGGAGTTACTATCAATGATTAAAACGTATACATTGGTGGTAAAGGATTACACATAATTGATCAATTGGGAAAGGAAATTCATGTGATATAAACAGCTCTATTATGATACCAGTAGCATTAGTCAATTCACTTGGGAAGCAGATTCCTCAGACAAGATGCAGATAGTGGTGTACAATTATGTTGACGAGAGCATTGTGTAACAGAAAAGGATTGGAGATAAGAAGGAAAGTATTGTAATCCATAAATATTCCTAGGTTTTAGGCTAATTCTTTGTAATGCTGTTGTATTTCCCTTGTATATATTGTATACGCCTGTGAATGGAATGCTAACTGATTCCTTCATCTTAAATTTCTCTTATTCTGATCTGATCCATATTTCTACATGGTATCAGAGCATACCAAACTACACTGAATCTGAAATTCTCGAACTCTGATCTTGAACTTGAACCCGAATCGTACGAATGGCTGATAAGGGAGGCTCACCATCAAACATAAACCCGGTGATTGTCCAGAATGTTCAGGACGCACCGTTTCCGACTGGAATCACCCTCGATAATACGAACTACCCGCTGTGGTCTCAACTCATGGAGATGCGCATCGGGGCTCGCAATAAATCAGGCTACATCACTGGTAAAACACCTAAGCCCACCTCCGGCAATGAAAAAGAACTCGAAACCTGGCTCATTGATAATAATCGAGTCAAAAGCTGGCTAATTGACTCAATGCAACCATCCCTAATCCGGCGTTTTATCAGACTGCAAACGGCGGCGGAGATCTGGGAGGCTGTCGGAAAGACATTCTATGATGGAAGCGACGAGACCCAACTATTCGAACTGAACCGGCGGTCCTTCAATACCCGGCAAAACGGACGTGCATTACCGACTTACTACAATGAATTGGTAAGTATTTTTCAAGAAATTGATACTAGACTTACTGCACAGGAAGAAACAGTGGATGAGACTGTGACTGTGAACAAAACTATAACTCGCCTGCGTGTGCACATTTTTCTAGCTGGACTAGATCCCGATTTTAGCCAAGCTAGAAGTGAAATATTGAGAAAGGATCCACCACTAAGCCTAGAATCCAGTTATGCTTATATCAGAAGAGACTTTAGCCAGAGACAGACTATGGAGGAAAAGAAGGTCGAAGCCGACAGCATGGTTCACCTGGCCTCTCGTAACATACCACAAAAAGGAAAAAATACGACTGGAAAGAAGAATAATTTCTCATGCACCCATTGTGGAGAGGAAGGTCATTCAAAGCAAAGGTGTTATGAGATAATTGGCTATCCGGAGTGGTGGGATTTTACGAAAAAACCAAGGAAGAAACTTAGCCAAGCTGCTGCAGTAAATGCAACTCAACATCCAGATCCTCCAATCGCTGCTCATACCTCCACTCCTGACTCGGGTACGTTTTGTAAAACTCAACAAAAACCGACTAACTGGATTATAGACACTGGTCCACCGACCACATGGTAAATGATAAGTCCTGTTTAACAACATCATGTAACTCTAAACAAAACATAGTACAAACCGCAAGTGGTGACTCAGAAAAAGTTACATGTGAAGGAACTGTACACATATCGAACTCTATGAATCTTGATTCAGTTCTTGTGGTCCCATCATTATCATCTAATCTTCTATCAGTTAGTCAAATCACTGAAACCTTGAACTGTTATGTAATTTTCTGGCCAACCTACTGTGTGTTTCAGGACATAGTAACACACAAGATACTTGGTTATGGTACTAGGCGAGGGAGGCTGTATTACTTGGAGGACAGTCATGAGAGTCAGGCGTTTCATACTGGAGTAAAGGAAGTAAATAAATCCATGGCGATGTTGTGGCACCGTCGTCTCGGGCATTTGTCTTTTGGTTATTTGAAAAAACTGAAACCAAATTTATTTCTGAATTTAGTTGAAAGTGAATTTAAATGTGATATTTGTGAGTTGGCAAAAAACACAAGGATTTCGTATGTTCCTAGCAATAATAAAGTTTCTACTCCTCTTATTAAAATTCACTCTGATGTTTGGGGACCTGCCACAATCTCTACTCCTAATGGTGCACGTTATTTTGTGACTTTTATTGACGAGTGTACTAGAATGGTGTGGGTTTCGTTACTTAAAACCAAAGGAGAAGTGTTGCTTGCATTTAAAGAGTTACATCAACTAATCAAGACTGAATATAGGATAGATATCCAAATATTACAATCTGATAACGGTGGTGAATACATAAACTATGAGATGGATCGTTTTTGCCAGGAAAATTCTATTAGACAGCAGACCTCTTGTGCCGGGACCCCGCAACAAAATGGCCTAGCTGAGAGAAAAAATAGGCAATTATTAGAAATTGTTCGTGCCTCCTTATTCGACATGAATGTACCACGGAAATTTTGGGGAGAAGCAGTCAGGTCTGCTGCATACCTCGCTAATAGAATGCCATCTCGCGTACTTGACTTTGCCACACCTTTACAAAAATTACAAGAGCTTGTCAAACAACCAATTAATCTTGGACTTGAACCAAGAATATTTGGTTGTGCTGCATATGTTCACAAAAACGAAGGTAAACTTGAACCAAGGGCTGTAAGATGCATGTTTATTGGATATGCACACCAAAAAAAGGGCTATAGATGTTATGACCCACTCGAAAATAAAACCTATGTATCTCGTGATGTGTCATTTCATGAAAATACTAAGTTTTATGGGGACGAGACTTCACTTCAGGGGGAGAGCGTCGGAGAAGTAAAGTCTCACGATGATGTCTTTGAATTCAACATTGAAGAAAGTAACTTAAGTGACAGTGATGGTCAAACAGGAACCTCATCGGGTGAAGCCCAAAATAGCGAGACACAAATGGAGGCAGAAGTAGCTGGACCAGAAATGGAGGCCGAAGTAGCTGGACCAGAACTAACAAATGAATTGTTTTTTTTGATAATAATGTGCAGGAAATCGAAGGTCAGACCCAAGATCATACACCAGCCCAACAGAACATACCTGGCGCTGATTCTGAAGCCCACGAGGATGTAATCGGCGTTGAACAGGGGCGACGTTTTCCGATCAGGAGCACACGAGGAATTCCAAAAACACGTTATCAAGCTGACTTAAATGCAAAAACAAAATATCCGATCGGGAACTATGTGTCACACCATCGACTCGCAAAGTCACATGTGGCTACAATCAACGAATTATCCACAGTAGCAATTCCACGAGATATTCACGAAGCACTACAAGATAAGAGGTGGAAGAAAGCCGTAATGGAAGAAATTGAGGCATTAATGAAAAATGGTACGTGGGATTTTGTAGATGTGCCCCAAGATAAAAAATTGGTTGGCTGTAGGTGGATTTTTACGGTCAAACTTGATGCAAATGGGAATATTGATCGATTCAAGGCGAGACTTGTAGCCAAAGGATATACGCAAAAATACGGCATAGATTATGGAGATACATTTGCTCCGGTGGCAAAGATGAATACGATACGTATATTGATCTCCATAACTGCAAATGAGAACTGGCCCTTAAAACAATTAGATGTAAAAAATGCTTTTTTAAATGGGCATTTAGAAGAAGAAGTGTACATGGAGTCACCCCCCAGTATGAACTGTAATGGGAAAGTATGCAAGTTAAAGAAAGCGTTATATGGGTTGAAGCAGTCACCTCGTGCATGGTTTGGGAGGTTCACAGGTTTTATGAAGAAGATCGGATACAAACAGAGTGATGCCGACCATACATTATTCGTTAAAAATGTGAACAAGAAAATCAGATCCCTTATAGTATACGTTGATGATATGGTGATAACCGGAAACGATGATGTTGAAATAAAGAAACTCCAAGACCTACTTGCTACAGAATTTGAGCTGAAAGACTTAGGCCCACTGAAGTACTTCTTGGGTATTGAAGTGTCGAGGTCAAGGAGGGGAATTACCATGTGTCAGCGAAAATATATCTTAGACTTACTAGCTGAAACAGGAATGCTA